AGATACTTTGACACAGTCTACTTGAGACATCTAAGCGGAGATGTCAAGTAAGCAGTTGGGTGTGAGTGGGGTCTGGGAAGAGATAGACCTTTGGGAGTCACTGGCACATAGAAGGCATTTAAGTGTCAAGACTGGACGAAATCACCAAGAGAGATGTTAGGATCAAGAACCAAGCTCTGGGGTGCTCCAATGGAAGAGGAAGAACTAGCAAAAGAGATCAGGGAGTGACCATGAGGAAAGAGAAAAATGAAGAGATGGCAACATCCTAGAAGCCAATGGAAGGAAGTTGAATAAGGAAGAGGCAGGGATCAACTGTGCCAATGCTATGAGATCAAATGTGAGCAGATTGAGAACCAGTCACTGAATTTCACAAGATGGAAGCCATGGCTGACCTTGAGAAGAAGGGTGGTGGTGGCAGAATGATGGGTGGAAGTCTGTTTAGAGCAGTTTAAAGAGAAAAGAGGGGCGCCTGGGTGGCTCAGTCGGTTAAGCGGCTGACTTCAGCTCAGGTCATGATCTCACGGTCCGTGAGTTCGAGCCCCGCTTCGGGCTCTGTGCTGACAGCTCAGAGCCTGGAGCCTGTTTCAGATTCTGTGTCTCCCTCTCTCTGACCCTCCCTCATTCATGCTCTGTCTCTCTCTGTCTCAAAAATAAATAAACGTTAAAAAAAAATTAAAAAACAAAAAAAAAAAGAAAAGAATGAGAGCAATTCATGGACTGAGTGTAAATTACCCTTTTAAGATGGCTTCCTGCAAAAGACAGCAGAGAAGGCAGCGGTATCTGACAGAGGCTGTGTATCAAAGGAAAGTTTTGTTCTTTTTTTTTTTCAAGATGGGGAAGATCTGAGAGAACTGATGATGCAGAAGAGAGGGAGGTGAAGAGCCAGAGGAAGGTCCTGGATGTGTTCTAGAGAAGAGACTGGCTTCAGTCAGGAGCACAGATGGTTCACCTACTGCAGCCAAGAAGGCAGAGTGTGTGGGTGCAGATGCTTGGGGGTGGGTGGAGATAGTGGAAGGGGGCTGTGGAAATTCTGCTCAGCTGGCTTCAACTTTCTCGGAGAAAAAGTGAGCATCAGCTCAGAGGGAGGGAGACTTGACACAGGGAGGAGAAGGCTCTGTGAGGATAGAGAAGAGAGAGATTCAAAGATGCTGGCCTTGAAGACTGGAATTAGATGGGTACAAGCCATGAGATGCCAGCAGCTCCAGAAGCAGGAAGAAGCTCTCCCCCAGAGCCCCCAGAGGGAGCGCAGCCCTGCCCACACATGGACTTCAGCCCACAGATACTGAGTGTGGACTTCTGGCTTCTAGAACTGTTGAGAGAATAAATTTCTCTTTGAAACCACCAAGTTTGTGGTAATTTGTTACAACAGGCACAGAAAACCAATACAGGAGTAAAGGAGATCTGGTTGCCAGAAGACCCTCTGCCCTACTCACTACCACGTACCTAGGACCCAGCCCAACGCCCAGTAAATACGTGCGGAATGAATGGATGGGCAGGCAGCTGGGCCCGGTGGCCGCCACACCACCGCTCCTACTTTAGTCCGCTCCCAGCCCAGAGGGTGTGAGGAGCCCCTGGGTTACATGCTGCAGCCATTGTCCCCCACAGGGATTCCAAAAGAGGGATTTGGTCTCTTGGCCTCTAGTCCCTGATAAAGGACCCAGAGAGGCTCAGTACCAACAGGTTCAATCAACCGGGAAATGAAATCACATTGCACAAAAGACTGCGATCTTGTGGATGGCGGCAGGGGTCAGTTTTCACAAAAAGCCATGTCAGACACCCCAATCAGTGTCCTTTACAAAGAGTGCCATTTCAGAGCTCCGTCCCACAGCTTCACTTCAGCCCTGGGTCTACTCAGGAGGTACACACTATCATCCCGTTCTCAGGCAGGGCAGCTGGAGACTGAAGTTCAACTGCAATTGAACTTGCTCAAAGGCACAAAAGGTCAGTGGCGGAACTCGAATCCAAGGCTGCCAGACATCAAGAGGCTAGGTCTCTAATCACCCCACTCACTTGCCCTCATCCTCTGGCTCCAGGTAGGAAGGAGACACTTCCTCACGGCCACCAGTGATCTCCTCTTTAGTTTAGGTTTGCTCTGTAAGAATGTGCTCTGGGCCAGACACAGGCAACTTATAATGTCCTCAGCAAAACTTCAGGAATATCTGAATAAGAGGAAATAAGACAACTGCTCTTCTTTTCTTTATTAATGGGTTGAGCTACACAAAGACTTGATAAAAAGTTACATAAAAGGCTCAAGCATCGTCGAGACCCTCAGGCATCACTCTCCTGTCACAACAATGGCCATCCGGTAATACTGGGTAGCAGAAGCTGTGCGCTCATGGGCGCTCAACAATTCAAGTATCTTTTGTTCTAAGTAAACCCAACATGGAATTTCTAACCCAATGGGCTGTTAATGGAAGGACTCTGTGGCTCCAGATTGACTGTCACATGTCTGAGGGGCCTTGGGTCAGAGCTGCCATGTGTTCGTGGGTCACATCTCATGGCAAAGTGAGACAGGCCACACTTGGCTCCCAGGTACTCTCCACAGCAAGCAACACGAGGTGGGGTCCAAGTCCTAAGAAAAGCCATCCAAGTGACCCCCGTGTGGCAAAGTACAGGAGAAGCCAGTAGCCAGAGCCCCAGGCTATAGGGGTCGGGAAGATGGCTAAGATTACCTGCTGGAGAGAAAAGTAGCCCTCTAATTGGGGTTGTCAAAATTTTAGGAGGAAATATGAGAGCACACAGGGGCAAAGGCATGGGGTGGGGAGGTTCAGGAAGGGTGTATTCCAGATGTGAAGGTAGCACTATTCAGGTGGTCTGGAAAACCAGTGGAAACACCAAAATGTTACCAAAGATGAGCCCCATTGGGCTCCTCAGTCACGGAGTAGCATGGCCACCTGATGTTCCGACAGACTCTGCCATGTGGCCATGGAGAGGTACTGTGCTGGGGATGCCCCAGGGTACACTCCATTCTGGCCTATCTGGAAGCCCTCACTGCCATAAAGGCCCACAGTTCTCTAAAACACAGACCTGTCTTTTAAAAGTGTTATTTATCTGTGGGCAACACGAGGTCATGGACAATGAAGGCTGACCCCAGACTCAGCAGCAGGCGGCCTTTCCTTAACCAGTGTCCCCTTTGAAGAACGGAGCTGAGTTGTGGGCTGACTGCAGGAAGGATGTTCTGGAAGATGGGGCCAGGTGGGCAGGAGCACTGCTGGGATCAGAAGCAGATGGAACCCCTTTGTCTGGTGACCTTCGTGGCTAAGGAATTCATTCTATGTCAGCCGATCAGCTTCCAATGGGACCCCCCACTCAGTGCAGCCGTGGAGTCACAGGATCCGCAGAGGGCAGGGGGCAGGGGTGTGCTAGAGGTGGTCCGTGCCCGCTAGTTTTCCAGCAGCGGCCGCTGCCCACCACCCCTTCGCCACGGAGCATCTCCGTCCTTACTTCTTCCCCCCATCTTGCTGCCGCCTCCTCGTCTCCTCCGCACACGGGGCTGCTGCGGACTCAGCTCAGAGGAGCATAAGGGCTGGAAAGATACTTGTTCTGTTAGTGTTTAAAATGTCCATTAACACTACAGGATCTTGGGACACTCTGAAGTGCTCAATCTGGAACGCTCTTTGTTATCTTTCCTTTTAGGGTCAGACCAAAAAGGCCCCTTTAGACAAATAAAGGAGTTTGATTTTCTAATTAACAAAAGTCCCAATTATTTCATTCTACACAGAATCACTCCTCAGGTGGGCCCCTGGGGCTGGTGATCTTGCTGAGTTAGGAACTCAGCACACTCTCAAAACCAGAGAAGAATCCAGGTGTCTCATGTCCAGTTGGGTGCTCACTTTCCCAGGTTTCTTCCTCCACAGAGTGGCCAGGCCACCTGCTGGGGCTGTTCTAGTTTGCCTAGTGATCTGACTTGTATCACAGGGGAAAGAAGGTCGTTAGCTGTGCTGCCTGGTCTTTCGACCTCCTCTCAGCGGTGCGCTGCTGTTCTTGCTGTCTCTACAAGCACCCTGGCTGGGAAAACCCAGCCTTTGAATCACTCAGAAGCACCCGAGAGGGAAGTGGCATTGTCAGGATTCTGGGGGAGTGTCCCCTTGCAGACATAGGTGTATGGGAGCCATGACATCACCCCAATCCTCCTTTCTCCTTTAATTATACGTTATAGTTAAGATCCGAGAGGTTAAGAAAAGTGTGTGCCAGGAAGGCAAGCGAATCTTAAGTTTGCAAATGCTTCGAGGGGTTTGCTCATTTACTGGGCTTTAAGAAGTAGTAGTCAGTCAGTGGACTCAAAGGGAAAATGGCTTCAGGTCTTGCTGCTGTTTTAGTAATAACAGTATTGGATCGTTTTTGGTTAAGATTCAGCACGAACTCGAGTTTTCTGGATGGCGCCCACATTAGCTCACTGTGACGTGTTGAAACGTACATGCCCATGTCAGTGTGTCTGTATCCGAGAGGCACCAGGCAGCACAGGCCGTGAGAAAGCGTGAAGAGACAGATTCGGGAGAGCCCTCAGAGCACAGAATGGAATCTGCACTATCTGAAAAGTAAACGAACCCCTCTGCAAAGCCAATCAGCTTAATTTATACATTTAAAAAGGATAAGAAAAAACCTTCTTAAAACTGACACGCCTGTGCCAGCCTCTCCGCTCAGCAAAATAAAATTCCATTTCCTGATACCTACACCCTCAAACACAGCAGAACCTTCTGGGTGAATGCATCTCTCTTCTCTCCAGCTTGGAGGCTACAAGTGGGGTGTTCATCCTGAGGCCTCCAGCCACAGTCCTCATTAACTTCCAGGCTCTCGGTCCCTCCACTTCCATGTTGAGCTGAGTTTTGGCACTGCTGGGAAAACTCAGTTAAAAACAACAACAACAACAACAACAATATTCCAGACATGTTCTCAGAGAGGCCTGCTGAAGACTTAAAGCTCCACCAGTCAGTGGGCACAGACCCCTTTAATAAAATAATAATCACTAAAATAATTTAAAAATCTAAAAAAGACACCCAAGCTCAGACACTTTGGGTTGGAGGCTGGAGCCGGCGGGGAATTGATCATGGCTTGTTTGGTACTTTGTCTGAGGTACACCCTTCAATGTCAAATCAATACTGTGTACTTCAAAGAAACAACGTAGCCACTGAGAGAGACGGGGAGGAACCGGGTTGAATCAAAGCGAGGGGCTTGGGTGCTGCTTCTGTTTAGCGTTGCTTCCCGGTCTCTTACGAGACACGGGAAAGCCTGTGCCCTTTTGGCAAAGCCGGAGCATATCTCCTTCCTGCCCACCCTCCCTTTCTCCCTTCCCGTGCCAGGTCCTCGGGCCAAGGGTCATGGTTAGAAATGGTTTTCAGTGCGGTTAGGCAGTGGAGGGTCCCGAGGGCTGGCCAGTTCATGGTCACTGTGGCCAGGGTCTCAGGCCCGTCACAATATCACGCACTGCAGTTTGTGGGTGCCGGTGGCCCGGTCTCCCCGCCATTTGGTTTTCTTCTTCTTCTTCTGGCTCTTTTCTGGAATCTGTTGCCTTTTGAGACAGTGAAAGGCAGAAAAACAAAGTCAGAATGGGCTTAGCTTCTCCCTGCCCCACCTTCCTGTGCACCAGGCGGGCCTGTTCTGGATGCTGCTGGAGGGCCTGGCCTGGAGAGTGTCTCTGGGACAAAGAGAGTGGAAGGCAGAGAGGGCAGTGCAAAGCCTGTCCTCCTACTGCTGAGAATTCCTGACATCATGCTGTGGCTACAATTATTTAAATCATAAACTACATTATATGTTATACAGTATTGGCCTCTATTTTTGTGTTTCATATTTTTAAAAAAATGATGGGTCAGCTGAGGACAAAAGCTCTTTACACATTTTCTGGTAACCATTCCTATGTCTGCAACCTGCCCTTGGAACGACAGGTCCCTAACCAAGACATCACCAGCCCATGGTGTGGCAGCATATCCTAACTGGAGGCCCATGGGAAAATTTTTTCAAGCGTGAAGAAAGTAAGGGCTGTACTATCACAGTCCATGCTGGGGAATGAGGACAAAAGGCGTGCGTGTGTGAGTGCATGCACATGGATGTGTATCCTGGGGGTGCCGAGAGGTAGCAGGTGGGGAGTACTCTGTCAGAGCCCCACGTGTGATTTCGTAGCTTGAGCTCACCAGCACATGGCCTCACACTACGTGCTAGATATTTGAGGGCCACTGGGTAGGCTGTTCTGCATGTTGCAGATTTCGGAAGTGGGCAGATGGGCGACAGGGGAGCAGCCAGGAGGCTGGTTCAGTCCTCTAAGCACAAGGTGGTTAGGGCTTGGACCCTGACCATGCAAAGGAATGCAAGCGAGACCACGGACCAGGATTTCCGATAATATTTGCAGACTGGCAGTGTGTGCAGTCTGGAAAGGGGCTCATGTGCCTCACTTTAGAAATTTGAGCCTAGGAATTAGAACGGTGGTTGTTCAGGTGACATGTCCCAGGGTGCTCTGGGGTCAGGGTGGGAAAGAAGAGACAGACCTGTCAGTGGTGCTGACAGGTGCGGTGGTGTGGGGAGAACCCCAGACAGGGGGAGGGAGCTGCCCTCAGGGAGCCTGAGCTGCAGAGCCTAGGGGAGGCCAGACAGGAGGCTGAGTGAGCACCACCGGCAGGAAGGCTTCTGGATTCCCCCACAGGTAGTAGGAGTGAGGGCAGGTGTGGGAAGGCAGGTGGCAAGGGCAGGGAAAAGAAATGAATGGAGGTACAAGAAATCCAAAGCAGGCCCAGAACTGTGCATCCTGGGCCTTGGAACAAGCGCTGCGTTCCTCCAGCCCTGTGGGTCCCCATCCTGCCGCTGAGGCCCCGCTTCTAGGGAGGCGTGCCATGCTCACCTAATTACCCTCACCAGGTCATGGAAGGCTTTGTCGACGTTGAGAGGTGGGTCCTTGGCACTGGTTTCTATGTACGGAATCTGGAAGGCAAAGCTCGACTTGGTAAAAGTGGCTCGGGGGTCCACCAAGCCCTGTTCCCTAAAATCGCAAAATCTCAGAGGTCCTGAGGAACTGCCTGCCTTTAGACACCCTCCCCCCACCACAGAACCCCAGCTCCAACAACCTCAAGCCCTTTGGTAGCTTCTTGTTCCTTACGGCTGGAAAATTTTACCAACAGCTTTTCCATTTCCCTCTTGTTCTCTAGTCATAGAGATCTTTAATAGCCCCCCAAAAATAGAAAAGAAGTGATCTTTTTATATACTTGAAGACTAAAGACTGTTTCATTTATCAAACTAAAATAGGATCTGAGGCCATTCTTTTTTTCTTTCTGAGGCCCATTTCTCCACCGTGAAGGGACCTCTGCCTCTTCCTGGGCCCTCTCTAGAGGGGACTGTGGCGGGAAAGGCTGAGGTGAAGCTGGGCCATGGGCAGGACTCTGCACCCTGGTGACCCCTAGCCGGTCTGTGCCTCCCCGCCCCCAGCATCTATGAGTCTGGGAGCTCAGCACAGCACAGTCTGCATCTATGAGTCTGGGAGCTCAGCCATGTTTACAGAAGGCTTGTGCCTGCACGTTTAATACTGAGGGATCATCATCCGCCTGAAAGGCAGTCAGCACATGGAGAGATGTGGCTGAGGTGGCCCCACAGGACAGGTGTTGAGGGCCATGTCTACACTGAGCCTCGGGCCGGTACATGGAGGGGAACGAAGGTTCCATGAGGTCAGGACACAGTCCTGAGCACACCTCTTCTCCTGTAGCAGGGACCCCACAAAGGCAGGAAGCATTCATGCCCACTCCTCCATCAGTGGAGAGGGTGTGGGGTTTGTACAAAATATACAGGCTTCCCCAGGCCAGAGAGGTAAGCAGCTTGTGACCAGACTGAAGAACTGTGGTAAATTTCATCACTTTTTCCTGGTTACAAAACTAAGGCATTTCATTGTAACACTTTCAAAAAAGAAAAGCCCAGTGAAGAAAATAAAAATGATCAACAGTTCAAGTGCCTGGGTAAGGGGGTGACAGAGTAAGCTGTTACTTTGGAAGAATGTGTTATAAACGACTGCCCAGAACATACCCTAAACTATCTTCACACATTGCTGTGGCTTCAGACAGAGGTCTCGTAGTTGACCCAGACCCCGAGGTCAGGGCACAGGAAGCACGGCTTGCTCAGACTTTAGAAGTAGTCATCCAACAAATCTCTGAACCTCTGAAAACACTGAAAGAAAACTGTCCTCCACTGTAGGTTGTTTGATTGAGACGACTGTGGGCTGTTTCGCCCCCCAGGTCTCAACATCCCTGACCTCACTGAACCCCCCCTTAACCGTCTGCGGTGAGCAAGTATCTCCATTGTGCAGTGGGAGACTGAGCTCAGAGTCTGACACACTTGCCCAAAGCCACACAGAGGCCAGCAGAGAATCAAGGTTTGAAACAGATGCATGTTCCACTTGCTGCCTGGCCTCCCACAGACAAGTAGGGGTGCTGAGGTCATTGGCAGAGCCTCTTCCAAGCATGGCAGGCACCCCTGTTAGCACCTAGAAGCCAGAGACCCGTGGCACCCTGTGAGGCCAGGACAAGGCACTTCTATGTGCACACTGAGAGGGGAAGCGGGAAGGTGCCAGTAGTGGGGCCCGGGACCTAACTGGGACCCCTTCACATCCTGTGACCCTGCCGGCTCAGCAAGTCCATGGATCCGGGGGCCCCAGACCACTGCTGCCTGCTGTTCCCCTGCACCACTCAGAAGTACATCACTTGTAGCATCCCCTAGGTCCTCAGGCACCCCCCTCCTTCTTTCTGGGCGTCTTGCCTCTACCAGTAAAAAAAAGGCTGATGTGCATTTTCTGGGTTCTTAGAATTCTAGGGTTTCAGGAGCAAGGAGACTCAAACTAAGGGAAACCCTGTAATAAACAGTAGTATGCTCTGACTCAGCCACAGGGCTAAGAAATGCCATCTTCCTGCACAGGGTGGGGCACCGGCCTTGCCAGCTAAAGAGGAACTTGCCTCATGAGCTCTAAAATAGGATGTTATCGAGAGTAGCTCGCAGAGTCACTTGGTCAAATAAGTCACTTGGCTGCAGGAGAAAGACGGCTGAGAGAGGGGAGACCCGGTTCCGGAGGTGTGTTGCTTATCTGCAGAATGGAGCTCCTGCTGCCTGCACAGCACCCTCCCCTCTGCACCCACCCACCCAGCTGCTTGGGAGGGATGCACACAAGGTGAAAGCCCTAAGGAAGCCTCCTCAGGCCAGTGTATGGAGCCCAAGGCTGTGAAACGGAGCTGGCTCCTCAGGCCTGTCTCTGTTCAGAAAGTCCTGCTGCTGAACCAGCTCTCCTCTGGAGACTTCAGGGCAGCCCTGTCCTAGTCAATCACTCCCTCCTCCTTGAGGCACCTTCTTCACTTGGCTCTCATGATGCTCTGCTTTGGCCCTCATGTGTCACTGACCACTCAGGCCCTTTTATGGCTTCCTCCTCACTTCCCCACATCACTGGTTGAAATGTCCCAGCCTTGGTCCCTCAGTTTGGGGCCCTTGCCCTACCTACACCCACTCCCTTGGTGTTCATGGCTTCAAATGCCATCTACATGCTGCCAATAGCCAATATTTACCCCAGATGCTATATCTGGCTGCTGTCTTGGCATTTCCATCTGATCATCTGCTCAGCTCCGTAAATGACACAGATATGCAAGCAAGCTCCTGTCTTGCACACACTTAATCCTACTGTTTCCTCTGCCCAGCTACTCTCACTCCTGTCTTTTGAAAGTTGCTCACGCCCAAACCACAGGGTCACCTGCCATTCCCTTCTTTTTCTCTCACCCCATATCCAATCTGTGCACAAACCCTGTTGGCTCTCTTAGAGACATGTCCAGAATCCAACCACCTCCTTGCCACTTTCACGAGTCCCACCCTGGGCCATGTTAACCTGTACCTGGATTATTGTGGCAGCCTCTAACTCGTTTCCCTGCTCCCACGATTGGCCCCTACCAACCCTACTCAACACAGCCACCAGAGAGAAGCTGTCCAGCCATAAGCCAGACCTCATCACTCATCACTCAAAGCCCTCCAGTGGTTTCCCGTCTCCCTCTGAGTAAAAGCCCATAAAGCCTTAAACCCCTTCTCTGACCTGACCTCCCGCTACCCACGCCTCCCACTCCTGCTCCAGCTGGCCTTGCCGATCCTCAAACTCCCACCTCAGGGTCTTTGCATTGATTATTCCCTCAGCTGGAACGTTCTTTCCCCAGAGGTCTGTGGGGCTTACTCCCCCACCTCCTGTAAGTCCTTGCTGAAATGCACCCTCCCTAGCAAGGCTTTCCCTGACTACCCTATTTGGAAAAGCATCCTCCTCCACCTCACATTCCTGTCCCCCTTCCCTGATTTACTTTTTTCCATAGTACATGTCACCTTCCAACACACTGTAATTTGCTTTGTTTATTATCTTCTCTTGTCACTAGACGTAAGAACCATAAAGCAAGGGGTTTTGTTTCCCAGGGCCTAGAGTACAGTTAAGTGAACATGTGAATGAACACAGAAGGCACAGACAAGCAGAAGTAACTTGCAGTGAGCCCCCTTCCTCTACTCACACAGCTGGGCCCACCAGGCAGGGGGAAGGGGCAACCTTGCAGCAGACCTCCCAGCAGGCAGAGTGGACTTCTATGTAACTGACCAAGGAGGCCAGGGGCCTGGGCTGTGCCTGTGGGGGGGAGGGGTGGGACGAAGCCCAGTGACCCCTCCCCAGCACATCCAGAGGGCAAAGGGGCATCACAATGAACTGAGAAAAAGAAAACAAAGATGTCTGCTGATATTCACGGAGTGGCCTGGGCAAACCTCAGCATGACCAGCCGTAAGATGGGCATAACAATACCTACCTCAACATGCGGCTATGAGGCCTAAATTCTCTCCCAGCATAATACCTGCCATAGAACGGGGCTCGGTGAACTGCAGATCGTCTGATGATTCTGAGCATAATCAGGCGGCTGGCTCAGAGAACAGGACAGAAGCCAATCCCTGCACAGCCCAATGATGAATCTGCTGTGTTGAAGGCCAGGAGGTGGCCTGAACGCCACAGCTCACAGGCCACTGTGAAGGCCCTTGGTCCCCGCATCAGAGCCCCTTATGACTGAAGAGAGTGCTTTCTCTCTGGTCTGCTATTTTGTTTCACAACATATCCCTTATCACATATGCCCTCTACCCACTACCCAGGAGCCCCGAGATACCACAGGGGTGATGGGCATGGGCTTGTATACATCCCTGACCATCCAACACACACACACACGCATACACACACACACACACACACACACACAAAACCTACATTGTGTTTGGTCGCCATTTCTTTTCCTTGTTCCCTGGTGATTTTCCTCAAATGCATCAGATCGACCTTGTTGGCCACGAGGATCATCGGAAATGACTCTCTGGGAAATAAAGGAACAGCAGCTCATGAAGTTTCACGATTCTCACACCTGGTGATGGGAACACAGCTGCACCTCAGGCATAGTGCAGCCCATATTGCCTCCCTGGTTGCTCTGGAGTCGACTCAAGAGTCCTTCTCTCCACGTCTCTAGGCAGGGGAAGGGGGGCTCAGGACTGCTGGTTTGGAGGCTTGCTGCAGGGAGAGGAAAAGGGTTTTCCTGGGAAGCTCCTGGCTCAGCACCATCAGTGAGGGCCCTGACAGACTGCTGTGCGGGGGAGGGCTGGCTACCCAGACCTGCTCCCTTCCATCTCCTGGCCACACTGATGCACCAGCCATCCAGGGCAGCTGTGGCCATCAGCAGTGGCTCAGGAAGAGCACCAGGGCCAGCATTTGGTATACAGCTGGCATTCAATAAATGGCAGCTGCAAAATCAAGATGGCTCCCAGGAGAGGAAGAGTGGGATCACAAGGCATGTCTGCCTTAAAGATTTTCATTGACTTGGGGCACCTGGATGGCTCAGTCGGTTGAGTGTCTGACTTTGGCTCAGGTCATGATCTCGCGGTCTGTGAGTTCGAGCCCCGTTGTTGGGCTCTGTGCTGACTGCTCAGAGCCTGGAGCCTCCTTCAGATTCTGTGTCTCCTTCTCTCTCTCTGCCCCCACCCCTCCACTCTCTGTCTCTCTCTCTCTCTCAAAAATAAATAAACATTTAAAAAAATAATAAATAAAGATCCTCATTGACGTATGTGGCCATATTGCCGCCTGAAGGTGAAAGAAATGTCAGTCTTGCAGCATTTTCAACATCATTGGGCATTTTCATTTTTAAAAATTTAGAATTTCACAGGTAAAAAGTACTACTTTATTATTTTTCTTGCATTTCTTGGGTTAGACAAAAGGCTGAATATTTTCCCATATCAGAGTCATTTATGTTTTCTCTTTTGAAATTCCTACAGTCAGGAGCTTAACCCACATTTAGGTCTCAGAGCTTTATGTGTATATGTGAGTGTGTGTGAGTGTGTATGCCTTTCCCTGGAAAAGTTACTAATACTTTGCCTTTGGAGTTGGTGTGAACTAGACTTTTCTGAATTTACTGAGATTTGTTCAAAGCTTGCTTATTTCCTATTCATTTGTCCTTTTACTCTCTTTGCATTGCCTCTTTAAGAGCCAATTAACTGAAAACACCAGTTAGGCTGAAAAGAAACTACAAATTATTTAATTACTCCATATAATGCTAAGGAAAAAACCAGCCTTTAATTAGGTGCTTGTAAATCCCACAGTCAAATGTGATTGAGCCAATTACAATGCATACGGGAGACAAAATTCACTTTTTCTTTGAACATGATAAAATTTGGTTAAATTGGGGGCATCAGTGGGGACAGTTTAGGAGAGATGGGAAGGGGCTGACTTAAGGCTTGAAAGCTGTTTGGCCCCATGGAAAGAACTGGGGTAGGAGCCCAAGGGACCAATGTCTGAATTCACCTCTGCCCCTCTGTGCCTCAGTGAGAGAGACTGAGACAGACACAGCCTGCTCTGAGCCAGAGGCTGGGAGGTCCTGGCCTAGCTGCCCTTACCTGTCCTTGACGCGCAGGATGAGCTGGTGGAAGCGGTCCACGTGCTCGAAGCTGGCCTTGTCTGTCACCGAGTAGACGATGAGGAAGCCGTCCCCTGTGCGCATGTACTGCTCCCGCATGGCGCTGAACTCCTCCTGCCCGGCTGTGTCCAGAACTGGAGTGGGATGAGGCCACTCAGAGGCTGTCACCCCCCCACTGTGGAGCCCTCCTGGCCTGCAGACCCCCATGCTGCCACTGCCATCCCCAGGGTGGCTCCAGACAAGCTGTCCCCACGAGAGGCTGCATGAGCTCCCTGGGCTGAGGTGTAAGGGACCCAGCAGGGCCTCAGACACTTCAAAGTATGAGGCTCTAAGAGACTCATTTGTGCACCTGCTGATTCCAACCTACTGTGCTCCCTGGGCCTTAACAGCCTGTCTACAGAAAAACCTCACAAAGTCCATGATCAACTCTGCTACACAACCCCTCTGGGGTCCCCACACCTGGGCTTGGATCCTGCTGCAGCCCTTACAGACTGATTCCTGGGGAAGTTACCTGACTCTCTGAACCCCCTTTCCTCTTTTGTAAAATAGACACAACGCTTCCACCTTGTAGCTCCTTGGGAGGAGAGCCCAGGACATGCGCTGGGGAAGCCCTGAAGAGGCCATCCCAGGTCAGGAAGGGTCCTCAGTTCCGGTGTGGACAGACAGCAGGCAGGCCATGGGGAAGGAGAGGCCTCTGAGAGCCAGGATCACTTGCCCCTAGGATGGGGCTGTCACAGGGGTGATGGGAAGGGAAGCTGGGGAAGGAAACAAGAATGGCTGGGGAGACGGAGCAGGGCACCATCTCGGCAAAGGGTCTCTCTCCAACCCATCCATCCCCTCTCCTTCCCTCCACCCTATGGACTTCTCAAGCCAATTCCCCTCCAGCTTCCTTGCTGCTGAGTTAAATGCGCACCCCCAGGCTGTTTCAGAGGGGTGACAGCCACTGCTGGGGGTTCTCCTCTGAGATGCACAGGCCTGACCCCCTTAGGCCTCCTGAAACCCCTCAGCATCCCACAAGTCTCTGCTCACCATCCGGCCTCTCCCATTTCCTAGCTCACTCTACTCTCAGACCCACCTGCCCTCTCCCTGGAGGCAGTGGAGTAGGTAGTTATAGATTTTGGAGCCAGATTCTGGGCTGAGTCTGATTCTTCATTCCTAGAGTGTGATTCAGGGCAAGCTCACTTCTCTGAGCCTTCATTTCCTCAAATGGGGATGCTAAGGGTTGTTTTAAGTTAAAATATTTAGACCTTTGGAGCAATGCCTGCCACAAAGAAGCTCTGGAGGAGTGTCTGTTTCGAGCTTGTCTTCCTCACCTGGGGTGCCATCCCCCAACCATCCCTCCTCTCTTGCTCCCCTTGCCTTGGCCAGCTGACTCTGACTCACTGCATTCTCGTGCCTGAGCCTCCAGGACTCTCCCCACTCCTGTATAGCCCCTTCATGGCATACTGTTCTTGCTGCCCATTTCATAGGCCCCACCTGGACTGTCACCTCCCAGAGGCAGGGGCCTGGTCTATTCGGAACCTGGCACAAACAGAACTCAAATAGTAGCTGAATGAGTAAATGAATGTGAAGTCTACTCAATTTTGTTCATTCATTCACTGAAGAAATATTGGAAAGCCTACGATGTGCCAGGCAGTGTTGTAGGCACTGTAGATGCAACATCAATGAGGCAAAATCTTTGCTCTCCTGGGACTCATAATCTAGTGGGGAGACTGGCAAACAACTGAATGGGTAATATAACATCTGGTGGGGATGAGTACATACTGTGAAGATCAATATAGCCAGCTGAAGGTAATTGATGGGAGTTGGTGTAATTTTGGGTAGGGATCGAGGACACTAAATAAATCCCATCAACAAAACAGATGAAAATGTCACAGGTTTGGCTGAAGGGATGAGAAGGCCCAACATTCAGTTGGTATGTAATTAATGTATTCACAGATTTTGAAGGTGTGTATTATCCAAAACAAAAACTAGAGATCTAGGGGTGCCTGGGTGGCTCAGTCGGTTAAGCATCCAACTTTGGCTCAGGTCATGATCTTGTGGTTTGTGGGTTCCAGCCCCACATTGGGCTCTGTGCTGACAACGTGGAGCCTGGAGCCTTCTTCAGATTCTTTGCCTCCCTCTCTCTCTCTGCTCCTCCCCTGCTCCCACTTTGTCTCTCCCTCAAAATGAATAAACATTAAAAAAAAAATATAAAAAAAAAACAAAAAAACTAGAGATCTAGGATAAGTGAAAAAATATGTGCAGAATTTTGAAACCCCAATTTAATAGGGAGCTGAAAATCGAAATGGACCCTCTGGAAAGGAAAAATGGTAGTTTCACACACTGATTGCCGTAGAAGTAATATTATATCCATGCTTTCTAACAGAATTCTTGGAGGAAATACTTCAGCAAAGTGAAAAATAGGTCCATGAAAGAATATAAATAATGATAAGCAAGGACTACAGCAAAACATAAGAGTTAAGTTTAAATAAACATCATTTTAGGATTTGAAGTAAATCAATGACAGTTTAGAACTAAAATCTATGATGATCCATCTGTGAGAGGCGGGGCTGGGGAAAAGTAAGCTACTACTAAATTTCTTGCCTCATTTGGGAATAGACTAAAGATAATAATTACATCCAGATGTTAACAGAAAAATATAATCACACACACACACCAACACATGTCTGTACATAGAATAACCACTAGACATAAAACTCAAAAGCTCCTAATCATCAGAAGAAAAAAAGCCCAACAGAACAAAGTAAATGGGACCAATCCAACAAAAGGCAAGAATAAACTACACAAAAATATGAAAGCTAAAAAAGGAGACATGAAAGAAGATGGCAGACGTAATTCTAACTATGCCTAACAATAGTAAATGCAAATGGATTAAACCCACCTATTAAGGCAGACACCCAATACAAAATCCACTTGTCTACTACTGCAAAAGACACATATAAACCAAAATGACACAGGAAGGATGAAAAATGAAGGGATAAAAAAGGATATGCCAGCGCCATGCATCCACAAAACAGGATTCAAGGCCAATGCACTGGACAGGACAAATCAGGGTATTTATAATGGGAAAAAGTACAAGCATCAAGGAGTGCCAAAGTCATGAATCATAAGCACATAAGAATGTTGCCTAAGATACATATGTACAAAAACCTGATTTTTAAATACAGTAGGTATTGGCAAATCTCATGATCATTGTGAGAGAACTGAACAGGCGTCAATGGGCACATGAAAAGATGCTCCACATCACTCATCATCAGGGAAATACAAATCAAAACCACCATGAAATACCACCTCACACCTGTCAGAATGGCTAAAATTAACAACACGAGAAACAACAGGTGTTGGCGAGGATGCAGAGAAAGGGGAACCCTCTTGCACTGTTGGTGGGAATGAACCGGTGCAGCCACTCTGGAAAACAGTATGGAGCTTCCTCAAAAAGTTAAAAATAGAACTAAAGGGGCGTCTGTGTGTCTCACTGGGTTAAGCGTCCTACTCTTGATTTCAGCCCAGGTCATGATCTTATAATTTTTGAGATGGAGCCCCACACTGGGCTTCATGCTAACAGTGCAGAGCCTGCTTGGGATTCTCTCTCTCTTCTTTCTCTCCATCTCTCCCACGCATTCTCCCTCCCTCTCACTCTCTCTCTCAAAATAAATAAACTTAAAAAAAAAAGAACTACCCTAAGACCTAGCAATTGCACCACTAAGTATTTACCCGAAAGATACAAAAATACAGATTCAAAGGGGTACATGCACCCTGATGTTTATAGCAGCATTATCAATAATAGCCAAATTATGGAAAGGGCCCAAATGTCCTTCGATTGATGAATGGATAAAGAAGATGTGGTGTGTATATATATACGATGGAATATTACTCAGCCTAAAAAGAATGAAATCTTGCCATTTCCAACAACGTGGATGGAGCTAGAGTGTATTACGCCAAGTGAAATAAATCAGAGAAAGACAAATACCATATGATTTCACTCATATGTGGAATTTGAGAAACTCAACAGATGAACATAGGGGAAGGGAAGGAAAAATAAGAAAAACAGAGGGAGGCAAACCATAAGAGACTCTTAAATACAGAGAACAAATTGAGAGTTGCTGGAGGGGAGTGGGGTGGGGGATGGGCTAGATGGGTGATGGGCACTAAGTAGGCACTTGTTGGGATGAGCACTGGGTGTTGTACTTAAGTGACGAATCACTAAATTCTACTCTTGAAGCCAATATGACACGATATGTTAACTAACTAGAATTTAAATAAAAATCTGGAAAAAAAAGAACTGAACAGGCCTGTCTTAGAGACAGATCACCTGGCCCCTCAAAAGTAATGATCTCAATAATGCCAAATTTAAAAACATCATCTGAGAGAACAAACTTTACACTCAAACAGTAAATAAGCATTTTCAAACACAGGAAATTGTCACAAAAATTGGCCATATATTAAGCCATCAATAAAAATTTCAACAAATTTCTGAAAGCAGATGTCATATGCAGCTATCTTTTTGTCTAACGCAAAACTATCAGAAATTAACAGCAACACATATGTAAAAGAAACTATCCACTTCAAAGTTTAAAGAGTGATACTGCTCAAAAATGCTCTAGTTAAAGAGAAAAGCAAAGTAGAAGTTACAAACGATTTAGAATTAAATGACAATAAACAACAATAAAACCCCTGGTTTGAGGTCAAAGTGGTACTCAGAGGAAAATTACAGCTTTAAATGCACTTCCAAAAACAAGAGACTGAAAATTAACTAAGCATTTAAATGAAGGGGCTAGGAAAAGAAAAATAAAACCAAAGAGAGAAGAAATCATCAATGAAAGTAGAAATTAAGAAAATGAGAGGAAGTAAAAGTAGTAGATATCTAAAAATCAAAATCTGATTCTTTGAAAAGACCAATTAAAGAAAAAAAAGCCTTTAGCGATTCTTATCAGACAAAAAAAAGAAAAAAGAAAAGAAAAAAGACTAATAAGCCTTTGGATTGAGGAAAGGCCTAGATCTAGATATATATTTAATTATGAAAGAAAACTATATGCAGTTTTATAGCAATAAATTTTCAATTCTTGATGAAATGGACAATTTAAGGAAAATATAAATGAACAAAACTGGCTCAAGAAAATATATAAAATCT